CCCCTCCAGGTCTCTCCTGTCAGGTCTCCAGCACGCAGTTGGGGGCACCTGATTTTCCTGAAATCCTTCAGGAAAAGCTTGAAAAAAATTCAGGAAAAATCCCTCCAAGAGCTGCAGCTGCCTGGGGATGTGTGTGAGTGAGGAGTGAAGCAGAGTGCCCTTCTCCACGGATCTGTGCCAGGGTCTGTGCCAGGCCCTGCCCAGGCAGGAGCTGCTGCCCTGGAAGCAGTGCCAAGGTGATTCCCTGGCATCACACACAGAGCTGTGTCAGAGCTGGGGCCACCACGTGCCCTGGCCTTCAGGAACCTCTGCAAAGGCATTTCACAGCTGGGACAGAGCAGCCCTCGCCTCAGCACCGTGTCTGCCTCGGAAATGCATCCTCAGCCACAGGCTGGGAACAGGGAAGGAGCTGTGATAATCCCCAGGGGCTAAAAACCAAACAAAGCACCACCAAAAAGCCCAACAGAGCAACAAACGATCCCTCCAGAAAAAAAAAAAAACCAAAAAAACAAGAAAACAAAACAACAAAAAAACAAACAAAACAGGAAGGCTTTACCAGCTTCAGGTATCAGCTCATTCTGCAAGCTGAGATTAACCCTGAACCTCCCTGAGATGTGTCAAACCTTGCCAGGCTCTCCAGGAGGAGCCTGCTGGGCTCCACAGCAGCCTCCAGACATTTCCCATGGAAAATAAGGAAGGAGAGAGAGCTGTGGAGAACAGGAGGCACCAAGGTGAGCAGAGGATGGAGCAGCTCTGCTGGAGGAAAGGCTGGGAGAGCTGGGATTGCTCACCTGGAGAAGGGAAAGCTCGGGGGTGCCCTTGCAGGGCCTGAAGGGGAAAGATGGAGAAAGAATTTACCAAAATGGTCCCAAAATGAACCCAAGGTGAACCAAAATGGTCCAAAAATGAACCCAAGGTGAACCCAAATGGCCCCAAAATGCACACCCAGGCACAGGGTCTGTCACTGTGATCAGTTCTGCTCCATTTGCACCTTGCAGTTCATTGTCCCATTCCAGCTTTAGCCCCTGCAGTCCCATCCTTGTTTTTCTCTCTCCTGTTTGTGCTCCTGGGCTGAGATTTGGATCATCTGTCCTTGGTGCCCAGCTGGAGCAGGAATGGTTTTGTGTCCCTGCTCTGTGCCCAGAGCTCAGCGTGCCCTGGTATCAAACCCAGACCCACTCACTAAAGCAGCACAGAATGGGAAAAACAGAAAAGCCAAACCTGAGGCACCATGGGCACCCTGTGCCAGGGCCTGCCCACCCTGCAGGGAACAATTCCTCATTCCCAGTATCCCACCCAGCCCTGCCCTCTGGCACTGGGAGCCATTCCCTGGCTCCTGTCCCTCCATCCTTGTCCCCAGTCCCTCTGCAGCTCTCCTGGAGCCCCTTCAGGCCCTGCCAGGGGCTCTGAGCTCTCCCTGGATCCTTCTCCTCTCCAGGTGAGCACCCCCAGCTCTGCCAGCCTGGCTCCAGCCCTGGGTGCAGG